TGATTTGTGCAGCAAACCACCACGGCACACATTTACCTGTGTAACAAATCTGCACACCCTGCACATGTACCCTGGAATTTAAAAGTTGAACTAAAAAAAAGAAAGAAAGTGCATATGTTGATGCTTGAGAGCATTTTTAGTTCTGATGGGAGGTACACCCCTCCTCCTGCAGAACGAGGAGGGGGTTAGCTAGCTCCATGACAGAGAGGGACATTTAAGCCAAGACTAGGGAGGAGCTGAGAGAAGTGTTTCCAACACAGAGAATGGATTGTGAAGGCTATGAGGCAAGAAGGAGCTTGCCATATTGAAGGGACAGAAGGAACAGGGAGTCTGGAGCAGAATGGGGTAGGATTGCAAAATGACACTGAGGGCTGGAGGCCCCAGATGAGTCCAAGGTCAAGGTGCCATGGTGAACGTGATTAGGATACAATGTAATGGAGCCAGCCTTGTGCTGGGCAGGATGGGGACTGCAAAACCCGTGAGTCACCTAGATACCTCCTGCCTTCTTACTCCCTGCCTCTATCAGTCACCCAGTCGTGGTAGGCCTGATTCCTTAATAAATCCCACATTTGTCCACTTCTGTCTCCACCTCTGCCAATGCAAGGACCAAACCATTGCCATCTTTCACCTGGAGGACTCTGAAAGTCTCCTTACTGCCCCCAGCCACCCATCGCTTCCCTACTCTGCCCCATCCCAGTCCATTCTCTCCTCAGCAACCACATGGGCCTTTTGGAGAAAACTCTGCTTGTATCACATCTCTGCTTAACTCTTTCCTGGTACTTCCTATTACTCTTAAGCTAAAACTCTTATCTATCTGAGCCTGCCTCGGACATCCAGCCCTCAGTGTCACTTCACAGCTCCCCTCTCTTTTCTGGTTTTTCCGTGTGTCAAACTCCTCCCTGCCCTAGAACCTTTGCATACTGCTCTCTCTGTTGGAAATACTCTTCCCTGGTCTCAGCTTAAATGGACAACCATGGTCTACCCAAAGCTCCATTTATATCTCTGCTTAACGAGTGCCAAATGATACTCATGGTCTCCCCAGAGAAAGTGGTAGAAGTTTTTCCCTTCCTGCCCCACTCCCTTAAGAAAGTGGGGACTTGAAAAGGCGTTGCCTTTGCATGTGTTGTTCACATTCTCTACACACTTCCAGCCTCTCCTTTGTAGCACTTCTGAGACCTAATTAAGGCATTACTTCAGTAATTACTTGCTAAATTCTTTCTCCTGGGACAGACAGTGGAAGAGCTCACCTATGTCCAGTCTATTCTCCTTCCAGAGGAGCACTGCATTTCCCAGCCTCCCTTGCAATAGGCAGGACCATGTGACTAATCTTGGCCAATGGATGGTGAGAAGGGGTGTATGTGACCTCCAGGCAGAAGCAATGAAAAATCCATGCCTGGAAAAGCCATCCATTCTCTTTTCTCCTGCCATGGTAACTGAGAAGGTCACGAGTTCTAGTGGGTGCAGCTCCAAAATGGAAGGGACCCCTCAGCTTAGGTATCTGAGTGACTAAAGCAGAGGAACCATGATAAGCATGTTGCACAAGTGAGCAATAAATGACTCTTATGCTATGTCAGTGAGATTTTGGAGTTCTTTGTTACTGCAGCATAGTCTGGTTAAGACAGAGCTCTATTTGTGCAGAGCTGGGGTCTTCTTCACTGCTGCCTCTCCAGAGCCTGGGAACCTAACTGAAACATTGGAGTAGGAGCTTTGTAAATACTTGTTAAATGAGTGAAAAAAACAGAAAATGTGAGACATATTTCCTTCCTTGAAGAATTTAGTCTAATCCAAGAGACTGATTCTTACACACAATAGTTAGACTACAATTAGGGGCTAACTGCTAAAAAAAAAGAAAGGGGAGAGGTTAATGGGTTGGAACCACCATGGAGGGCCTCCTAGAGGAGAACAAAGATTTGCAGAATTAGAGAGGATGACAGTGGGCTTGCTGTGCATCCATTCAGCAAACATTTATTCTGATGCAGCATGATGAGTGCGTTGCCAGCAGTGCGGCTGGAGCATCATGGACATCTTGGAAACCAGAGGAAAGTGCCCTTTCCATGTGAAGGATCTAGAATGGCTTCACACAGGAGGTGATGCTTGAGCTAAGACTTGCTAAGTAGGTGTTCACTGCAGAGATAAGAGATGGGGAGGAAAGGACTAAGAATCCCAGACAGAGGAGACAGCATGAGCAGAGGCGAGACAGCATGAGCAGAGGCCAGGCAGCATGAAGGTGAATGGTGTGTTCAGAGATGGGGCAGCATCTAGTGTGGCTGGATTTGGGGGACAGGGCGATGAATGCCAGGGGCAAAGAGCTGAGCGCAGTCTCTCCATCCCTAGCTTCCTGCACCTCACCCCAACTGCCTCCCTCCAAATCATATTAATACCATCTTGGAAGGTTCTGGAAGGCTTTTAAGAAAATGTCTAAGCTAAGACCTGAAGGATGAATTGAAGGTGGCCAGAAAAGCTGAGACAAAAGGGCAAGGGATGGTGTTCCAGGCAAGGGAAACAGCGTATGCAAAGGCCTTAGAAGCGACATGGCAAGGCCTGAGATGGCAGCTCACTTTGGCTGGCTGGAGCCCAGCTTTCCAGGTGGTTAGGGAGGAGACCGGTGGGGCAGAGGTGGGCTAGCATGTACCCTCCCCCCATAAATCCCGTCCAAAGGCCCAGCTCGGCACTCAAGGCCTTCAGGATCCTGTCTTCCGTCTCCCTGTCCATTCTAAACTTCTGTGCCTTTGCATTTGCTGTTCTAAGTGCCTAGAATGATGACAATAATAATGATATTGATGATAACATAACTTTTTTGAGCACTTAGAATGTGTTAGGTGCTGTGACGGGCATTATTTCATTGAATCTCTCAGTAATGCCATGATTAATACGTGAAAATTAATTAATGCCTTAATAAATTAAAGGTATTAATTTTAAAATGTATAGTCACCTTTCTTTCTTAGAACATTTTTAGATTTATGGAAAAATTGAGAAGATAATACAGAGAGTTTCCATATACCTCCTCTAATTTCCCTGTGAGTAATACCTTATGTTACTATTTGTTATGATTTGTTACAATTCTTGGTAGACTTTCATTGATACATTATCATTAATAACCGAAGTCCATAGTTTATTTAGACAGTTTTAACCTAATGTCTTTTCCATTTGGTAGTTATGTGTCTTTAGGCTCCTCTGGCTGTGACGTTTCCTTGACCTTTACTTGATTTGGATGACCTTGATAGTTTTGAGGGGTACTGGTCAGCCAGCTATTTTGTTGGATAGTCCGCTATTGGAGTCCGTTTTTCTCACAAGGCTGGGGTTATGGGTTACTGGGAGAAAGACCACAGAGGTGTCATTTTCATCACATAGTATCAAGCACACATCAACATGATTTGTGGCCTTTGATCTTGGCCTTGATCACTTGTCTGAGTAGCAGCCATCAGGTTTCTCCCGGTGAAGTTGCTCCTTTCCACTCCCTTTCCCTACTGTGCACTTGGGGAGGACTCTCTGCAGCCTACTCCTAAGGGGTAGAGGGTGATGCTCCCCCTCCCCGAGCTGTCTACATAAATTATTTTGAATTCTTCTGCACAGGCAATTTGTCTCTTTCACCCCCATTTATTAATTTATTATCTCATTGAATTTCTCAACAAAGGGTTGGTCCTCTGATTATCCTCATTTCTGGAAACGGGAAGGCCTTCCTTTCTTCCCCACCTTGTGGACCTCAGAGCCAATTTCTGGAACCCTCTCCCCCTCTCTGGGAAAAAGAGTGTCCTCCTCTGTGTTCTCCCGCCATGCTTTAACATTCTAACTAATTCATGCCACACAGATTTCTTGTGCCCCCTGCTCTGTGTCAGGCACTGTGCTCGGGGCTTGAAAACAAGCAGCCCCATAGGCCCTGTCTTTGAGTTGCTCACAGCGTTTGCCATCCTGTGCCAGACTAAGATCTCGGTGAGGGCAGGGGCATTGTCCATTCTTTTAATAGCCGTGCTCCCAGCCAACCAGCGCAGCGTTTGAGGTTTAGTAGGTCCTCTATGAATATTTACTGAATTTGAAATGCTTCCTGGAGGACAAACACTGGCAGATGATTGTTTATCTGTGTGCCCCTTCCCGGGGTACTGTGCGCTCCCTGAGGGGAGGGCCAGCCCTGATCCATCCCGGCCCAGCGGTGCGGTGGTGTTGGGTGCCATAGAAATCTAAGTCGGTGAAGGGATCCAGGAACCGGCTGCCTCCTCAGGTAGAAGTGAAGTTTGGAAGCTGACACAGCTCGGGAGGCCGAATCAGGAGGACTTGGTGACTGATTGGCTGGGGAGGGTGAGGCGGGAGGAGGAGTCACACAGATGGTTCTGAGGTCTGAAGCCGGGGGACAGCCGGTGCCACCTCTGATAGACTCTGCGAGAAGAGCCGCTGCCAGCTTCAGGCCGTCCTATCCGTTGGGGATCCGGCCTAGGGCCAGGGACGGGTGGCCGGGCCTGTGCAAACTTCTACTCACCACCCCAATGTCCTCGTCTTAAAAAAAAAAATCTGCCTGGATTTTGAGCACGGTCGTTTGTTATCAGGTGTGAGGGTCCATTCTGGGGGACCCCTCCAGGCGGCCGTCTCGAGGGAAACCCCCAGAGGCAGCCTGGCACCGCGCGGGCTCGGCCTGGTCAGGGCCGTGGAACGCCAGGCCCAGGTCCTCAGCCCGCCATCACCCGGGAGTGGGGTGGCAAGGCGGCCGCCGGGCCTGGGCGGGACAATGGCCGCGGCCGCCGGGGCCCCGGGAGCCCCCGCGCTGGGGAAGGGGCTGTCCTAGGGCCGGGCGCCGGTGCCCTCCCCGCGCAGCTCGGGCGGGCGGAGGGGGGCGAGGAGTTCCTTTGTGGCTCTGCCTCCGGCGCGGCGCGGGCGGGGGGCGCAGCGCAACTTTGCCAGGCGGCGGCGGCGAGCGCGAGACGAGGCCCCGGGGCCCGAGAGGGGCCCCCAGTGCGCGGCCCGCCCCCGCCCCCCTCCCGGCCCCCTCCCCTCGCGCGCCGCAGCCAGCGCCCGGCGCTGCCCACTCGCGGGAGCCCCCGGGGCCGGACGGGCTGCGCAGCCGGAGAGGCGGGGGCCCGACGCGGCCCCCCCCCCCGGAGCCGGGCGCCTGGCGCGGGGGCTCGCCGAGCGCACGGGGGGCCGCGCGGCGCTGCAGACCCAGCCTCCCGCCGCCGCCGCCGCTGCCGCCGCCGCCGCCGCCGCCGCGGCGCTTGCAGAACCCAGAAGTGAACAGCAGGCGACCCGGAAGGTTTGCGCGCGGCTCCGCAGCGAGCCGGAGCCGGAGCCGGAGCCCGAGCCCGGAGCCTGAGCCGGAGCCCCAGCCCGGCCCTGCTCGGGCCGCCGGGCGCGGGGCTGCGGCCGCGTCCCGGAGGCGCCGCCAGCACAGCCAGGTCCGTGCGGGCCCGGGGCGCGCGGGGAGCGGGCCCAGCGGCGGCGGGCGCCTGCCCGCGGGAAAGTTGCGCCGAGTTGCGGGCGGGGGCCGGGCCGGGGCGCGGGCGCTGTCAGCGCGGGCAGGGGCGCTCTGAGGGCCCGGGGCAGCCTGCGCCTCGGGCCCGGCCCGGAGAGGCGGCGGCAGCGGCGGGGCGTGCGGGGTAGGAAGTGTCTCCCGCGGCGTGTCTGGGGCTGGTCTCCGAGTGTGTGTGCGTGTGTGTGTGTGTGTGCGCGCGCGCGTGTGTGTGTGTGTGTGTGTTTTTCTTAAGCCGGGCTATTCAAACCCTGCTGCAATTCTCCGGTAAACAATGATTCATGGGGCTTAATGCAAATAAACGGATTGCAAACGGAGCGGTTCGCGCACTTTGCAGCCGGCCCGGTGGAGCGGCCAGTGCCGGATTTCTCCCTTTTTTTGCAGATCTGCAGAATATGGCGTCCCTGTCCTGTTTTAAAAATAAGCCAGGCTGCCATTTTTGTTTTTCTTTTGTCTGAAAATTTTAATAAAACTGTCTGAGAATGTGGGAGAGGCGGCTGGAAGCAGAGGGGGCACCCGAAGGGTTGGCTTTTTTCCTTTTCTTTGGCGAGAGCTGCGAGCCTTTCGGGGAGGTGAGACACAATGCAATTGCACTTTAAAGAAAAAAAAAGGGAAGCTGCCGGGCGATTTTGGGGGGGGGAGGGCTGGGAATTTAAAGTTAACTCCGAAAGTTTGCTTTGCTTTTCTTCTCTTTCTTTCTTTTTTTTTTCTTTGGAAGGCGGTGAAATGCCGCGAAAGGATCTCGAGGCCCATTTCTCCCCCAGCCAGCTGCCTTTGCAGGATTTTGGGGAAAAGTTAACTGCCAGTTTCCTCAGAGCTGTGCGGGGCCTGGGGGAGTCGGGGCGGGGGGAATGTGGAGGGTTGGGGATGGGAGTTTTGGGGGAACTGGGAAACATTTTTTGGAAGGGGCTTTATAAACATGGCATTGTAAGGAACTAGATCCTCAGATCTGGGGGACAGAGGGCCGTCAAGAGCGGCCTGGAGTGGGCCCAGGGTTTCCAGCAAAGACCCCTGGCTTGAGGAGATAATCCTGCTGTCCCACAACCCTGCCCTGGAGCAGTGTGGAACCTTCGGGAGCTATGTGTGTGGCAGTGGGCCTGTCTCCTTCATGGGTGGCCAGGACCCCCCTGTAGGCTGGAATCCCGCCCAGGCCTTGGGGTGACCCTTGGACCCTCAGGCAAGTGGGCTTGGCCCTTTGCTTTTGGAGAGCCTCCTCCCCAACCTGGTGGACCTTCTGCTCCCAGAGGTGGCAGCTGGTGGTAATGACTCCCTGACCCCACCCTATGGTGAACTTTTGGTTGGGTGCAGGCCTGCAGCCCAGTGGGTCCCATCTGAGGGGAGGGGCAGGAAAGGTAGTCTGGTTTGCTAGTCCCCCTCGGTGTGAGCCTCACCCCTGTGGTAGGCTCTTATTCCTTTCTGCCACTCCTGCCCTACGCCCTGGAGGTGGAAACACTTTGGATTTCGGTTAAGTTCCTGAAGTATCTTGCTGGACAGGTCAGGGCCTGTTGGCTTTGCAGGTTGCTGAGCGGGGGTCTGAAGGCCAGGCCCACAAGGTCTGTGGTGGCTAGCGCTGTCCAAGGCACTGGGCAGTGTTGGGCCTGGCCTCTCCCCTGCCCCCTACTCCAGCATTTCTTGGAGGGGAGACCCTTCTAGTCTTACTCCTGGTCTGTGTCCTGGCTCCAGTAGACACAGTCAGCTCCCAAAAAACAGAGTCGGGGATTGAAAGCCGGGGTTAGGAGTTCAGGGCTGTGGAACTTGGCCAGGGGGTACCAAACCAGGTGGTTTTTAGATGGAAGGAACTGAGGTCCAGAGAGAGGAATTGACTTGCCTGAAGTCGCACTACCAGGTAGAAGGAGACCAAGGCCAGGACCTGGGTGTTCAGGCTCCCACTGCTGGGCTCCCTCCGAAGTTCTCCACCGGGGGGGCTGGACCCCTGGAAGATCCATTTTGAACAGAACTGGACTAGAATGGGACAGCATGATCCTTCACTCCCTCCTACCCCTGCCATCATAATCCTCCCTGAGAGAATTGAACTTTATAGTTTGCACAGTGTCGTGTGGTGGTTATCACACCAGGCTCTCCCAGAAACTCAGTTGGAGTGAAATTATTCCAGTGGGGATAATGGACCTCATTATAAGGAAACCAAGACTCAGAGAGGTTGAACAGTGGCAGAGGAGGCTTAAACTCAGGCCTGCAGGCCCCTCGCCTGGCCTTTTCCCAGGTGGACTTTGGTGCTCGTGGGAAGGAATCTTCTAGGTTTTGGTCTCTCTAATTCTTCTGCTGAATCCAGTGACTGTAAAAATTCAGAGGCCAACCCCACCCAAAGGATGTCAGAGTTGAAAAGGCTCATGTCAGGAGGTTACCTGGGCTCAGAACAGGGAAGCCACTGGCTGGAAGTCAGTGATTCAGTCAGGTCTCAGAACCAGACCCTGATCTCCTGCCTTCTTTCCTCTGTGACACCCAGAGGGACAGTGAGCCTCTCTACCCATTGCCAGGCTGCACAGGCCCCAGGAGGGCAGGAGTTGCTAATGGGTGGTGGTACTGGTGATGGTGTGGAATAATGGCTAGCGCTCCATGGAGACATGGGCTTGTCCCAGGGACTGAGGAATAGGCTATCTGCAGTCTTGGGGATTGGAGGCAAGCTGGTCCCATGTGGAAAGGAGGAAGCAGGTGTGTGGGTGAGGTGGGAACTGGGTCTCAAGTCAGGCTTGCCCTAGCCCTTCCCTTCCCTCCTACCTTATCCCTCTGTAAAATGTGGAGCCATTCATTCCTTCTGCCATGGGCTATTTTATTCATTGATTTGTTGCCAGATTATTCCTTTATTCTTTCCTCATCCATTCATTAGTTTATTGGTTAGTCATCTCGGTAGTCTGTCCATCTGTGCTTCCATGTAATCCTTAGCCCACCCAGCCCACACTGGACAGACATGTGAGATGCAAGTGTAGTCCTCCAGGGCTCTAAAGCCAACAAGGAAGAAGAGGTGAGACTGCGGGTGCATGAAGCATTGGCCAGGGCAGTGTTCGCTGGGCGCCTACTTGAGTTCCCAGGGGAGGTCTCTCAGAGGATGGAAGACTTGAAAACACCAAAGGAGTTCCATACACTATCACAATGATAGACCTGGGTCCTGAGATCAAGTCTTATTGTTTCATATGGCTTCTGTGACTTTGAGCACATTCTTTCCCTCTTTGAGCCTCAGTTTCCTCAACTCTAAAATGGGGTGCTTTCTGTGAATCTCCCATGGGTTGTTGGGAGTGATATCAAGACAGTGTATGACATGTCTCCCCACCCTGGCCAGGCATGCGGTGGGAGCTCAGTATGTACCCACTGAGTTATAAGGATTGTTGATTACTGTCCTGGGCCCTGCCATGATTTTGAGAACCATGGTGGTGGTTTCAGAATGAGACAGATGATCTGGGCACCCTGCAAGCCCTGGTCTGCTTTGTTATTCCCCTGCTGAAACTCTTCAAATGTTTCCCAGGCATTTAGAAGAAAAAATATCCAAAGTACTTTCTGGGCCTACAGGGCCCTTCATAGGCCAGGCTGTGCCCACCTCTCACCCTCAGCTCCCCGCATCCCACTGCTACTTTCAGCCACACACCAGTTTTGTTCTGCACCTTGAATTCACAAAGCCTGCTGGCAGGGCCTTTGCACATCACCCCCTACCCCCATGGCTGTTTTCTGAGTGTTTGCATGGCTGGCACCTTCTTGTTTCACAGGTTTCTGCTTGAATGTTACCTCCTCAGAGGGTCTGCCTGGACCACTTGCTCTAAAATAGCTTCCAACTCTCACTCTCTCACATCAGACCCTTTTTATTTTCTCTTGCGGCTCTCACCAGTGTCTGAAACCTTCTTGTTTATTTATTTGCACTTCTTGCCTGCTTACACCACTAGAACATGCTGAAGCGCCGTGCGTGTGAGTGAGCAGGTGGTTCTGGCGTGGCATGGCTGGGGCTTTTGTAGAGGTGAGGGAACGCTTGGGAGTCCAGCTGTGGCAGCAGTCCTGATGGCCAAGCATTGCCTGGGAGATGAAGTTACACCAAGGGCTGTCTTCTTCTCCCCCTTGGGAGACTCAGGGCTGTTGTTAGGAAATAATGAGATGATTAAATCATGAAATCTAAGAATCCTAGTCTCTTCCAATCTCAGAGCTTTAGCATCTGAGCTTTCTAGCTCAGAACCTTTGACACTTAGAGTCTTAGCATGATAGCATGATCCAGCCTTAGGTTTAGAATCTTACCAAGTGGACTCTTACCATCTTATTTAGCATCACAGAATGCTCCTTTGTGCCACACCATGTTCTTAAAGCCTTTATAAATTTAGCATATTTACAGGTGAGGAAGCTGAGGCACAGAGAGATTTAGGTAACTTGCTTCATGGGGCAGTTGTTGGCATTTGAACCTAGCACACTAGGACTCCTTAGACTCTCTCAGCCCAACCTCACTGGACCCTTATACAGAGCAGGGGATTGATTCTTTCTCATACCCTTGTTAAAAGGGCCTCTGATCTCTGCCTAGAAACCTCCCTTTAGTGAGCTCCCTCCTAACCAGGCCACCTAGCTTCCTGTTGTCAGAAAGCTCGCTTTGCTAGGAAGTTTTCCGTCTTTACAAGGTGTAAAGTGCTGCACCTCCCTTGTGAATAATGCCTGGGAAGTGATGTTAGTGTCATGGTTTCCCAGTGCCTTTGACTTTGTGAATTCCTGGTTTCAGTAGCCTCTTTCTTCCCACTGGGTTGTGGGAAGAAAGGCAGACAGCCTTGGTGCAGTGTTGAATGTAAGCATGAATGAATGGGTGCATAAAGACCACGTGAACCCTCAGGATTTCCGAGTTCCTATCTCTCTAGCCTGGTGCTCGGCACTCATCCAGGGGTAATTGGTCAGGCTTGGTGTGCTCAGGAAAAGGAGACACCGTTATCTCTCCAATAAAGTCTGTAT